AGTTAAACTAATCTGAAGTTTAAACTGACATTGTACTACCCAGCCTTAGTATAGATTATCCATAAATACCGCGAGATAAAGTTATAAATGAACTAGGTACATAATCACAATAAACAAGTTAAAAAAGTAATCGTAAACGATTTACAAAAAGCGGATTTCCACTTGCATTCATTTCCCATTATTGTAAGATGCAACTTCTATTAAAATCGTAAAAATCCGGCCACAAATATGAAAGATAGCGTTACATAGGTGCTACTTCAATTTCAGTTTATAAGAAGAATTTCATTGCAATGCTTTCCTAAATAAGAAAGTTGGCACTGCGCATCCGCTAACCTAAATTTTGAAACTAACGTTAGATTTTCCTTTGTTTCAAGTGGCTATGTATCAAATTTCATTTAAATACTTCCATAAATAAAAAAGTTGGCACTACGCATGCGCAAAACCAAATGTTGTAACTGGCGTTTGATTTTCCTTTCCATGCGCCTATGTATCAAATTACATTTAAATACTTTTATAAATAAACAAGTTTGCAATTCGGTTTATAAATGATCGAGATTAAAAGGGCACCTGTGAATTTTAAATCCATTCGACTCAACTTTTGGCATTGCGTATTATATAGTATTCAGTTCATAACTAACGGAGATGTCTAAGCGATCGGACATTTCTCAACAAAGTTATCGTTCACACGGATAGATAAACGGACAGACAGACAAAGGAACCGACGAACAGACTAACAGACAGACAGCAATACAAAATTATAAACGATCTCTAGGATCGTTAATAAACGGCAAAAGTGTAAAATTATGGAACATGCAAAAAACGTTTTTTTGTTTTTTTTACAATAACTTTTTTAGCAATAAACGCAGAAAAAAATTCGTTCCTTGATGTTGCAGCCTCGACACCATAACGAACCAAATAGCGAAAAAAGTAGAACAATAGCTCCTAAGATAAAGAACTAGGAGCGTCTCAGCGAACGAGCGGACGGACGGACGGACAAAGTGGCCACAATAGCGCATTTTTTTTATTTTTGTGGAAATGCGCTAAAAAGAGGATGAGTTTGAATACTACAATAATAGTAACCTATTTAAAACTGTGCACTAAATCATCAGTATTATAAATTGGTAACAAATGTGTAAGTTTCAAAACTGGCTTCTAATAAATTTAGCGCAGCATTAACATTTTTTTTTAATCGACCACCAAACAGCATTACGGCGATACCGTCGCCTTAACCTAATCAGCCTTGTTTATATCTTTTTCTTCGTACGTAAAGGTCAATCCGCTTCCTAAGACTGGAAACAAGGCTTCGTTGTGTCGCACATGGCGTTGTTAGTAAATAAAGCCAATTAATTTGTCCGATAACCCTTTTACAAAACATCTGACTATTCGACATTACGATTTACATTCCCTTATTTCTGTGTTCTAAAATGTATGATACTCGACGAATAAACTTACATGACTTAAACAATTACTAAATTTACAATTAAAAACAAAAACTAACATTACAATGACAATTTAACAAATTTTCCAATTCTGGGTCTTTATGAACAAAATTTACCCAGGTCCTATTAAATAAATTGAAACATTTTACATACGGGATGTAAACTGGAAATTACGTTTAGAACACGTAAATTTTCACTACAGGGTGGCTCACTTGCAATTTACACAACAATAGCCGTTTTTTTAATTGTATTTTTGAAGTTGGTGCTTCTGTGGTGAAAAAATATGTTTGCCCAATAAAACAAGTTTAACCAAGTGCCTAATACGCGTTCCCTTCAAGAAAATGTAGACGCTAAAAATTTAACTAACGTACCAGGGGTTTTCGTCCCTTGAATGTGGTTTCATTTAAAAGCCATGAGCAATAGCGAGATCCTTCAAATAATTTTTGTATTGTTATTATTAATTTAAGTATATAGGTACCTCATATTAATCCTTAAAATGAAAAGTAAAAATCATCAAAAACGGTTTATGTACCTATCCACCATCATTATGTCCAGATAAAAGCATCATCTAATTGAAGAAGAGATTTTTGATAAAAGAGCTTTCGCATACCTAACTAAGAAAAGAATAGCATTTTTTTTCAACGCAAACTAGGAAAATTTTGTAATTAAGTAACACAACCATTTTCCTTAATTTGAGTTTTTATCTTAAATTTGATTATGTAATATAATACGTTTTTTGGGCTGCTATATCCAAAAAAGGGTACTTTTAAGAATATGTACCTAATGTAAACTAACGATTGTCAAAAATAAGCCCCCACCATGTGGAAGTAGGCCACTGACCATAAAAAGGTTCTTTAAAAAAAACGTAGTTCTGAAGATATATAACCAGTGTTCCAGACAAAATATATACAGTAGGTATGTTCCGAGATGAGGTTCATAAAAAGTCCTGTTTTTTTCCAAAACTCTAAATTTTATATGTTTATAGTGAACTGACGTATATAATATCTACCTTATAGGAGCTCCTCCTTCTCCAATTGAGATAATGAAATTCATTGCCAAAATTAGTTGACCATTCCTAGCTGTTTGATGAATTGCTCCTATCAGGTAGTAAACAGATCAACATAAAGTTCAATGTCACGGAAAATTCATAAACTAAATAATGTAAATGTCGGTCATGTTTAAATTTACTCTATGGTGTTGATCAATACTTTTCAGTCAGACTTAAAGTAGGTTCTTGGTATTTCATCGCTAGTTCTTACGATTAACACATTTTTACCTTCTTGCGTTAATAACTGTCGCAAGTGATCGAGCTGTCATGCTTTTTTTTGTTGACGGTTTTATATATTATTGTCAAAGCGATTAAATATACTACGAAATACTTATCGTCAGATTAAGTGAGTATAACTCAAATCCGCGCCAAATGTAACAATTATGTTAATAGACATTCTTCTTTCATCGCTTTCGTCTCGAAATTTATTAACAACTTGTTGAACGTAGATGTTCTGTCGAAGTACTTTTGCACTTTTCAGTCATGCAATGCATGTATTCCATGCACATTTAATCTATATTACTTATTAATAGTAGTTCCTCCTCAAATCGGCCTCACTAAAAAATTAATTAGTATTGGCATAATGAATGCGAATGTTGTCTGTGAAAATTCTCCCAAAAAAACCATTTCCATGATTTGCGTAGTAATCACTAAATTAACAAATTATTTTTTTTGACATAGGTCCTAACAGCTTTAGTTTCCATTTTCAGCTAGACCATCTCACATCTTAGCTTTCTTGTATTTTAAGCATTCCTTTTAAAAACAATTACCAAAGGTTTATTAATTATTTCCTTGTTTGCCTGTTCTGTTCCTACACATGTGAAATCATTCCCCCATTCTTCAACAAAATGGTCTTGTAAGTTCTATATAAAGTAGTCATTTTTTCATTTTGATATCCTAATCCTAATTATGGCATTTATTTACAATAATGCCCATCCAAATGTGCGGGCTGTTAGATGCAAATCATCCCATACTGGTAGAACAGTAAGTTCTGCCAGGACAGCAAGTTCTCACTTTTACACGTAGTTTTGACTTGCCATATTCAAGATTATTACTTCCTAAATTCTAAATATTTTTGTAGAGGACTAAGGTTCCGGAGTCTTAAGTATTATAATGGCACTTTTGGGACAAAACTGGAAATGCAAACAAATGATTCACTTGTGTGGAGTTTTCGCAGTGAATATTCGCCACACCATATTTAATACAGACCCCGTATGATTTCGTCCTTACACTCACAGAAAGTATCCACGGCCGATTATATTAAGGAATGTGCCGTTATTTTCGTGCCCAATAATAATTAAATGATTCATATTTCGAATCTCTATGGTGCTCGCCATGCATAGAGACGACTTTGGAAAAACTTGCAGTTGAATTGTTTCACTACACTTTCTTTTTTTAACTGAACGATATACGACAATGCACTACAAAGATCGAACCTTTACTGTCCTTTGTTGTGTTTGTTCTTCTCGCTGTTAAATGTAAAGTCACTAAGTTAGTATACTTATTTTAATATCTGTAGGGTAACATTTAGAGCCGTCCCGAGTCCGCAGCCCGTGACGCCGCCTGCTAGTTCTGTTCTCATTGCAGAGCTCGCGATGGCGGCCTGCAGCTGCGGCGGCGTCTTCTGGAAGTAGGGGCAAGGTAACGAGGAGATAGCTAGCTCCCTGCCCCAGCCCGGACCCGGTCAAGTAAGACCACGTCCTGTCCTTGTTGTGGCGATGTGACAGTGTCGTGCGTATTAGACTATGTAGTGCGTTGTTCCTGTGCAGCCATGATCAGCTCGTTCGTTCGATGTATGTCTAGACGTTGTGTACCTCTGAATGTATAGTGCGTTTACATGTCTAATCGTACAGCTATTTCTAGAAACCTGCACAGGCTTGCTTGTATTTACACCTGGGGGTTTTGGAAGTACCTGTACTGGCCTCCAGTACGATAGGTGAAGGAGGTCGGTAAGTATCGTCAATGTACTGCCGTGTGTGTACAACGCAACTACCAGAGCACTGTCATGTACCCCACCACCACGCTGTTGAACACATGTTCCCATCGTAACGAGCTGTAAATTATTTCTCCACAATCTAGAAACGTATATTAATAACGGACTTTCTCCTACCTTTCGCTAGACACTCTACTAATCAATATTGCGCACACAAATTTTCTTCTAATATATTGTCCATAATCACTTCGGGGAACGGTGAACGATGGTCGCATCTGCCGATGACGACGCGTGGTGGCGGGGGCCGCACAGGCTCCCTTTGGATCATCCTTTCATTACAACCCGTCTCTGATTTAGAAAGCGACTTTGATCCAATTATACCTCACCAGTTTTCCCTAAATTCCTTCCCTAGATAACCCCGCAATAAATAGCTCCGTTTACATCGATCGCTAGCTCCTATGCTCGTACCTTCAGTGTCAATATTAGCGGACGATTATATGGAATTGCACCTGCGTTAGTAATGTTTATGTGTATGATGAATGTTAGACAGTTGACTAACGGTTTTGTTTTGCGACCGCAGACCGAAAGCTGTTCGTGGGCATGCTCAGCAAGCAACAGACTGAAGAGGATGTCAGACAGTTGTTCGCGCCCTTTGGAACTATAGAAGAGTGCACCATTCTCAGAGGACCTGACGGAGCAAGTAAAGGTAATATTATGTTTTACACATATTTTTATACACCAATGGCATTACCACCAAAGAACGCTTTTGTTCCGTATCTTGTTTGAAATGCAATTCGCAGATACACACACTTTTACCTATACATTAATTGTAAAATAGTACCCTAATTCAGTGGAAAACATCACCGTAAAATTACATTATAGAGACATTTATTCCACACCTATTTGGATTTACCTGTTGATGTGCATCTTTTCGCGTTTTAAATTACATAGACGTGCTGTCTGAACCATTCAAAATTACAACTCTACCTGGAGAAAGCAACACGTGTATCGGATCAGAATTCGCACTTGGGATTACGCTTTAAAACGTATCGTAAGTCGGTCATTAGTCGGTGTCACCGTTCTCTATTAGACACACTAAACAATTTGGTTAACACTTTCCACTAACGCATTACGCTAACCATTTCAATTCAATAGCAAATCACTGGAGAGCATAGACGGTGCTTGAAGGCTAAACTGAACGTGTAGGTGCACTCTCAATGCGGTCAGTTCCCGTGTCACTGGGAATTCAACTTCATTGCTGAAACAGGAACTGTATATAGTGTTTGTCAGTTAAATGTAAATAGTATTAGTACGAGTAGCTTAAACCTATAACTAATGAAGTGCTCCAGTTTGTTTCTTAATCCTATTAATTGTTGTTTCAATTTATTCCCGCATGCGGAAAGAAATAATAATCGCGAAGTATAATGTCGAATGTGGAAACATTAGGGAGTTTATTGGACCTGCTGGCAATAGAAGTTCATCAAAGCTAAAATGAGTAACAAGTTGAAATAAAAGGCTAGTTGCAAACATATTGTATGAAAAGCTTGAGTGACCGCATAAGATATCTTTTAATTTTCTTTTACAAACTTTTAATAACCAAGTGAGTTCATCACATTTGCACTCATTAATTTTAATGTTCCGGACCACAGAACTAGATGTAAATCCATATTATTTAAGATACCTCAATCCAAATCCATTTTATTAAATCACACAGCACCGATTACACGCATGATGACAACCTTTAATACTCATCAATTATTATTTATTCATAATTCATATTAGGGATGTAACGGAGCTTCGGTTCCGATTCCGAAAGAGCGGAACTTCCGATTGATTTTGCACTTTCTATTCCGATTTCGGTTCCGACAAATTTTAAGGGGGATCTCACACAGTTCAGTTATGAGCGTTTGCAGAGGTTTCATAGAAAAATTCCCCAGACTTTAGTTTCAATCACTTAGTGCTAAATGATACACCGATCTCTTCGCAAGGAAATTTGCGATGTTTCTATAGTAACACATTTTTCAAATTTATTGCAATATCAAGTGAAATATCGTGTTAAATATAGCCAAAATGTGTCACTTTTCATACGTAGAATTTTGCATTATGGAAATAAATAATCGAAAAAGTGTTACTATAGAAACATAGAATTATCCTTCGTCTTTTCAACAAAAAAAAAATTGAAAAGATCTGTAAAGAAATACGGCCGTGACAATCTTTCCACGAAACGTCTACCGTGTATGGATTGTATGAATTTTACTTGCTGTTGAGTAGCGCCACGCAATCCGAGTTTTAAAACTAAACTGGACGTATTAAGATCATTTTGTGGGAAGGAATATTTCATTTGTCAATTCTAAATCAGAGACTACTTGCAAAAGGATTAACAATTTTAGTTCAAAATGCGTCTTCATTTAATGATTTAAGTGCAAATCGAGAACACTTCACTCCAGCCAAGGATAGTCTAGATAGTGCTCATAAAATTGAATTAAAAATAAAAATAATTAGCAGTTAGTGTAGTGTATTAAATGTAAAATAAATAAAATTATAAATTATAAAATTGTAACATACAATCAGAGCTGGGCAGTGGGCAGTATTCTACGTTGTAAATACTGTGTAGTATTCAGTTACTTTCGAGTACATATTCAAATACTTTGTAATTAAATAGGTACTTTTATGGAAGCAGTATTTGTATTCTGAACTAAAATACTTTAACATATATTTTTTAGTGTTCAAATACTTTACAAACAATCCGCATATTTCGCAAAGTATTCTAATACTTCACCAACAATTCAAATACTTTTCAAGTTAGTGAAATACTTTGAGAACTATTTAAATATATATATTAAATGGAAAGTATTTAAATACTGTCAGAAGGATTTAAATATTATTCGACAGAAATTCCCCTTATGTGATGGTTTTGTCCGCCCGTCTGTCTGTCTGTTCCTCGTCTAATTGGAGAATGGAAAGAGACAGGGATGTCAAACCTTCACCAATCTATTTCTATGACTTTAAAGATCAATGCTATTGAATATGAGCTGAATTAAAATTCTTATTTCCAAATGCGAGCCGAGTGTCAAAAAATTCCCCTACTAAGAATCGTACGCGATACTTCATATGTTGTTTAACGATCGCCACGAGTTTATAATTTCGTATTACTGTGTCTATCTGTCCGTGTGCATAATAACTTTGTTTAGAAACGTCAGATCGATTTAAAAATTGGTACTCATGTTCTTAAGGGTATAAGAAAGGTCGCTATTGTTTCAGTTACGAAGTTCTAAAAATAATGGATGCGTGAACATCTCGAGGATCATTCGGTATTCGACTGTATCGAATTTCGAGATGTGATGATAACGATATTGTTTCAAGCCACTGCACCACGATATGATAAAACTAGTATTTTTATAGATGCATACATACTGTTTAAACACCTAATAGGCTACTAAATGTAATCACCCAAAATAACATCAAGTGATCAGGATGATGATGGATAATCTTTTTAATTTTTGAATTATTTGAGTGAAGTATTTGAATACTTTTGACTATATTTGAGCACTTGTCAAAGTAATGAAACACTTTTTAAAGTATTCAAATAGGTACTTTTGATAGATATATAAAAGCCGGCGTTTAAATAAAATTGATGAATTATCAACTTCGGCATGACCTTTAGTTTTCAAACTAAGCCATGCAGGAATAACTCGATAGTACGAAGCTAATGCAGTACTCCCGAAGGCTCTTTATCTAGTCTTATCTAATCTCGCTTCATGTAGATATCGGTAGGTTTATGAAAGGGACTCGAACGAGTTTTGAGTATAATAAAGTTTAGTATATTTTTGGGGACGTTCACCTCGCCCCCATTAATTTTCGAATTATTTCTAAACCCAAAAAAGGCGACATAAATACCCAATAGAGCACAATTGGACCACAGTAGACACAAAAACTAAGGGGGGGGGGCACATTTATATTGTAACCTTCACTTACTGTAGAAGAACGCGTAAATTCTTGTATCAGTTATTCCGAAAAGTCAAGTTATTGGTGTTGGTGCGCATTAATTTCAGTATAATATTTTGAGATGAAATAGACATGTTCGTCAATTTAATCGGAAAGATAACATGAGAAAAGGTTTGCAAGGTAATATCCTCGGTAATATCCAAAGACGTTTAAACATATCAACGATCTTGTATATTAGTTGTAAGCGCTGCGCGATTTAAGGAGAGCGGGGGAATCTCGACGGGCCCTCTAACGGCGCGGTGATCGGCAATATCCGACTTGCGGTGGCACCCCTCGCATCTCTGTTGTGTTAATTATTACTTTCAGAGTATTATACGTAGGTATTAATTATTGTGAACAATAAATGGTTATTGGGAACTCGTGTGTTTTACATATTTTAAACAAAAGTTGCTTGAAATTTGCATGCAGGGTGGGCTATTAGTGCGTAGGTGGAAGATTGTGGGTTTATCAACGCGGCTACAACCTAAAAATATGCTCGCCGAATTTGCTGTTGTTATACACTTTGATTTATATCAAAGTTGCATTTTTTTTAAATAGTTATTGCAGATTTTGATTCCTTGGTCAATTTGTATGTATTATGCATGACATCTAAAATCCATCGTTTAGCCGCAATGGTGATTTTTTTAAAAAGTACATGTGAAGTAACAATGCGATTAAAAGGCCGGGACTGCATGAAATGTACTACCATTCGCCGAATACGGTCAATGTTAAATTTTTTTGTGTTAAATAAAACCACTGCGTCAATGTTCAAAATTTCAATCACAGTTAACTTGATTTTTATTAATAGAACTACTATTTTTTTTATTGCATCAATTGTAGGATTTGATTACCTTTCCAACGATATAAGCATGTCGGTATTTACCTACCTTTTACATATTTTTTTGTAATTCAACAATTTCTATAGGTATAATTCATAGTGTTTTTCCCTGTGTTTTTCGATTTTCAAAAGCTCTCAGTAATTAGTAGGCCGTTAAAAATTATGAACAGTAACCACCAATTCAAATTATAAAACATTTCCCTGCAAACAAAATAAAACAAAAGAGACTCAGAAACCACTTCAACTCCCTCGAAGTATCCACCTAGCAGAATATTATTGATTTAGTCATTCTTTAACGTTGAGGGAAAATGAGTTGAATCACCATCGTGGTGAAACCACATTTCTTTTATTATGTGCACCGAAACATTTTGAAGACCATCAAAAAATACTTAAATATTTATAGTAAACAAGTAAAAAGCACCGTTTAAATCACTTTTTTCAAATTCCATTTTTCTAATAAACTTAACTAATCAACAATGCTAATGAACCAAATTGACAAATCAAATCCTACATTTGATGCAATGAAAAAAAACTTGGTAGTTCTATTTAACAAAATCAAGTTAGCTTGTGATTCAGATTTGGAAAAGTGATTTTTAACACAAAAAAGTGTAACTTTGAGCATTAGTACATTTCATGATTACTAACACTGCAAAGTCACGGACTTAAGAGTTTTATGATAATTGTGATAACTATTCAATTTTTACTGGACATCTACTTTTAAAAAAATGACGAATTGCGGGTAAACGACTAATTTTAGATATCATGTATAATATTAAAATTGACCAAGGAATTGATATATGTATTAACAGCGAATGCAATTTAAAAAGTGCAACTTTTGATATAAATCAAACTGTATAACAATTGGAAATTCGGTGAAAATATTGTTAGGTTATCAACATGCCCCGATAATGAATTTTAAATATGTGCGTTAATAAACAAACCCACAACGTTCCACTCATCTACA